CAGAGGAGTGGGCGCGGACATCCCGCTAATTCCTTTAAACCACCGCGAATCAACTCCTATGAAAAATGTAGAAGCTGACAGCAGCGGGGAAGGAGGGCGGGTGGTGTGAATGCACAGATGACCACTCGAAGATCACCAGTAACAGGTAAGCAACCTGTTTATCTTTGATGTAGTATCTGTGCTTCACACCCATGGGAGATTAGCGAGCAGTGGCCTACCTGGAGGAGGGTGCTGGCAGGTCATTACTGTGAAGCCGAGGATAAGATGTCCCATATTAGTACGAGAGTTCTTTCGGACATCTAGGGCGTAGTGCCTTATGAACGTATTAGGTGTAGCCCACATAGCGGCTCTGCAAATGTCCATTAAGGGAACTCCCTGGAGGACGGCAGTTGAGGCTGCAACAGCTTGGGTTGAATGAGCCCTGATAGGTCCAGGCAATGGCTGCTTAGCGATAAGATAGCAGAGGTGGATGAGACCTACAATCCACCTTAACAAACGCTGAGCCATGATGTGAGTTCCCAGCCTTGCTGGTACATAGAAAACGAACAGTTGACAGTCACGTCTCGTTGGGCGGGTTCTGTTTAGGTAGAACAGAAGCGCATGTTTCGTGTCCAAAGTGTGTAACAGCCTCTCCTCTGGGAATGTCAGAGCAGGGAAGAAATCCAGGAGGAAGACTTCTGCCTGTAGGTGAAACTCTGAAACTACCTTTGGCAAGAACGAGATGTCAGGTACAAGGCGGATGCCATCTGGCAAAAATGACAAGTAAGGAGCGTCATGTCTGAAAGCCAGTATTTCTCCAACTCGCCTTGCTGAAGTGACAGCCACCAGAAAGGCTGTTTTCCAGGACAGGAATTTCATGTCGCAAGTTGCGAGAGGCTCAAAAGGTTTCCTGGTGAGTTGGCGAAGAACCAGGGGAAGGTCCCAGGGGATGACAGGACTTTTGATGGGAGGGTAAAGGTGTAACAGTCCCTTCAAAAAACATTTAGAAAGAGGATTTGAGAACAGTGTGCATCCCTCAACTTGAACATGGTAGGCCGAAAGTGCAGCCAAATAAACCTTTAACAAGGAATGTGACAGTCCTGAGTCAGCGAGAGACAGGAGGAATTCGAAAACCTTCTCGAGACCTGCGAAGGTGGCTTGAGGGGCATCCTTACCCAAGGAGGAACAAAACCTTAGCCACTTGTAATGATAAGATTTTCGCGTAGTGGACTTTCTGGAGTTTAGCAACACATTTGCTATGCGGGAGGAAAAGCTGTTGATGCCACTCTCCAGGCTGTCAACTTCATTCGTGGCACGTCGTGGTATAGGAGAGGGGACTCGGTTAGGAACAGAAGGTCTTCTACCGGAGGAAATTGGTGGTAGACCCCCGCTGACAGATCGAGGATGGTGAAGAACCATGGTTGCCTCAGCCACCACAAGGTTATGAGATGCTGTCCGCTCTGTCGCTGATGATTTTGCGGACCACTCTCAGAAGTAGAGGCAGTGGAGGGAAGAGGAAAATAAATTCTCTGGACCACGGGTAGAGGAGACCGTCCCCTAAAGACTGTGGGTCCCTGCCACCTCGGCTGCAGAACAGAGGACACTTTTTGTTCGCCCTGGTGGTGAA